TTTGGATATTTTGGCTATTAAGCCCAAAACAATATCTTTCCACAATTTAGTCCTTAACTTACACTTAAATATTCCCGAAAATTTGGGATATTACACTCACCCCTCCTAAAAAGGAGTTTTGTCCCCAAAACTCAAATTGAGGACCATATCAAGTGGTGAATGGCTTCACACAATCCAAGAAAAAACAAATGTCTCACCAACTCTTTCTATGAACAGACATGGCTTACTATGCTTCCGTTGCGCCACTCTGATAACAAATCACGACTAATCTTAAAAGCAGAACACTAACTACTTAACAAGATTTGCCATCAAATAAGCTACTGGAGGCTGGGGTAATACGGAAAGCACAAGGAATAGAAATAAATCCTGCCAAGGCCACAAAAGAAACAGTTGTGGGGTTACGCTACGAACCCATCACAAGACGAGTTGGCAAAGAATGGCATGGATTTAAAGACGAATACAACAAAACTTTGAACTCTATCAAAGACGGATAAGCATCCAACAGATATATGGATCATGAATGAATGAACGAGTGCATGGATGCCTTATACATTTTGCCACAAAACAAGATTAACCAATAGGCAAGGTCATATTTAACAAAGCAATTGGAATCAAGAAACAAATTTTAGCAATTAACAATAGTTAAAAGCTAGGACCATCAAAAGACATGTAAGAATCTCAAGAACTGCAACAGAATAAAATCAATGGAAAATATGAATGCTTGGAAGAATATTAGAACACAAGAGTGCAAGGTAGAATGCCTCAACAATTCAGCAACAAAACGGCATTCACCTAGAGTCAAGATCAAATTTAACCAAGCAATCAAAATTGAGAGACAAAAGTAACCATGAAACAAGCAATAGAATTCAAGAACTAGGCTCACAAAAGAGATTTCAATAATGACAACCAGAACACTGATTCAAGAGCAGACATAATTAGGATGTCAACATCTAACACCCCAAGTAACACGAATTAATTAACAGAACAAAGCAATGGCTGGGATCAAGATGCTTAGAAGATTCATGTCTTCTAATCAAAAGGGCAAACAAAAATCCAAGCAGCCAGATAAAAGAATCATTTCACTTGGAACAAAACTCTAGGGCATCAGGTACTTCAAAGACTACCCCTTTACCTCGTAGCTCATGGAGGCTAAGCAGGTTTACAATCAAGTCATCCTAGAGTCAAGTCAGAGCTAAGGCATCAAGAATACAAAGATTAACACTTGTAAGAGACAAGAATGAGGATGCCTCATATAGTTATTTTCTAATAATCATCACCCCTCCTAAAGAGGTGTCCATATGAACAAAATCAAAAATCAAGAGGATCCACAGGTATACTGGAACAAGAACTAACAGAACATGCAGGATTTCAACAAAAGCAGTATACAGAATTCGAACAAGAGCAAGGGTCAAGACAAGAATGGTTTCCAAGGACAATTCAAAATAGATTCCAAGAACAATACAAGAATCAATTTCAAACAAGTATCCAGATAATGAGGATTTCAATAATCATTATCCATTTCTGGATTTCAGTTTCAAGAACAAGTACAAAGCAATATCAAGAAAGATTCAAGACGGATTTCAAGAGTTTCAAGCAATTTCCAGATATCAAGAATGTAGAGATTGGCAACAATAAAGAATATAACTTTATGACAACTTGCCAATCTTCACAAAACATGACAATTTCAATTGAATGATCACTGCTCTTGATTAACCAATACAGAAAAATGAGCCACATGAAAAGACCATGAAGCTCCAAATGGAAAAAGTGCAACTTTCACTATAACACTTTCAGAAAATAAGGAGCAACGGAATTACCAAGTAATCCAGCTCCTAAAACGCATCTAGAAAAACACACAACATTGGCTAAAATAGCCTTGAATCTCTTGCAAAGTAGAGGGTTTACCCATCCTCCACTAGCATGTGACAAACATAACAAATTCTCCACTAGCTATGCAGTAGAGACTAACAGGATTAATAACAAAAGTCTCTGCAACTCCCCAGATTTCACAATTGTGGCAAAAAAGCACACAAAATTCTATTCACGTAACAAGCCTAAACAAGTGCGGACTATCAGAAAATGACCAAGTTCAAAACAAGGTCTTAAGGACATAACGGGCAAGATTACTTACACAACTTCACACAGAGTATGAAGGCAAGAAACAAGAACAATCAGATATCCATCTCATCAGAATGGATTAGAAAATTCAGGCAACATGAATCAGAATCGTCCCTTATATAACCCCATCACTCGTCTCACCACGGGTCTAAAATCCACTGGCTAGCCAAGTCCAAAACAAATCCTAGGTATTCAATTAAACCTAGGCTCG